AAAAAAAAAAAAAAAAAAGGAATAATGCCCACTAAACTATCAACGCACATTGAACCAAGAAGATATCATGAACTTCATTTTCACGGTCATGATGCGATATTTCCAATGTGAGCTGCATGTAAACTTCGTGTAAACGCGTTATTTTATTTATACTATTAATAAAAATAATACATTGTTAATACATAGTACAACCTACGTACAATATATTATTATTGTATTATATATATGAATATTAATTACTTAAGATACTATTGCCTAATTACTTACATAAGATACTTGAGATATTGCCAAAGTGAATATTAAAAAGAAATACTTGGTTAACAATTTATCATATCAGTTTGAACTTTGCAAAATTGTCAAATAATATATATATAATATATAGTGAGATATTCCAATTGCCAAAGTGAATATTAAAAAGAAATACTTGGTTAACAATTTATTATATCAGTTTGAACTTTGCAAAATTGTCAAATATATATATATATAATATATAGTATATGAATATAATATTGAATATATTATAATTTTGATATGATAAATTGTCAACCAAGTATTTCTTTTTAATATTCATTTTGGCAATTGGAATATCTCACTTAAGTAATTAACATTAAAGGTAAATATTGAATAAGGATTGATGATCTATATTATAACTACATGGATTGTTGTATATTTATGCACTATTTAAAGATACACAAAACTTTTGAAACGACTTCTTAAGTAAATTATACAAACAATGAATCCCCAAATTTCTCTGAGATTACTTTACAAGTTTCTAAATTTAATACCCTGCGTCTAGAAATCCTGTGTGGGTTAGTCTGAAGGGCTTCTGGGACAGGAAAGGGCTTTCAGTCAAAGGGTGTGTAAATCATGTGACACGTACACCATGAACATAAGGTTTTAAAGGGGAAGGAAAAGAAAATGAAAGAAAGGAGTGGAGGAACAAGAGAGAGGTTAGACTAGATTAGAAATGCAATCCTACAGCTGTTACGAGTTATATAAAATCTTTTTGCAAATATGCACTGTGTAATCCATACTTTCACTCTGCAATAACGGCGGATTTCTCTGGTGTTGCTTCGGAAGGATTTCGGAATTGTTTGTCCCAATTGGGAATTCTTTCCACGAATTATCGACGGTACTAAAAAATCAAAAACAACAATTGCAATTGCGTGCTCGACGAATCTAGGAAACATCAAACAGCCAATTAACTTAAGTAATGACATAATATTAATCGTCGATAATAAGAGCACATAATAATTGCCACTCGTGCCTTATTTGTTTGCCTTGTTCTATTTCCATCCGATCATGCGATCTGCATCAGATTACATCCGATATTCGCAAATACGCTCGCGAGATTCTCTGAAACCAACTGTTTTCGCTGTCCTAGCAAATCTAGAGAGTAAAGTCAACAGAAAATGGTGGG